TCTGTTTGTAGTTCGGGTTGTGGGTTAATGTTGCAACTGGAACGACCTGTTCGCTAAACAGAATGGGCAGTTCTACTTGCATGCATAGTCTGTTATTTTTGAAACTGGAACATCCAAGTAGAACGGTCCGTTTTGATCCATTCGTCATGTGTGTATTTTTTGCATCCAGCCGTTCTGAAAGGAGAACGGGTCGTTCTCCTTGTAAAACGGGTCGTTTCGGATCCAGTTTTACACTATGCTTAGATCTAAAAATGTAAAAAAAAAATAAAAAAATTAACAGCTCAGAATTCGATTATCCAAAAATTAAATTCTGAACAGGAAAAAGTGTTATTTGGATAAATAAAGTAGTATAAGTGCTTTTTTCGTAAATTTTTTTTTAAAAAAATTTATTTTAGTAAAAAATTCGGCATAGGGAAGTGGCGAAGAATAGTGAATCCTAGAGAAGCCAAGAAAAAGGGGAGCTGAAGTGAAACAAACACAGCTCATACTGATACTGGGACTGAGATTCAGATGACACCCACTCTTTTCTGTCCGAAACTTGGAAACGTCCAATCTGTCTCAGAAATACTCATTACGGACGGATTATAAATAGTCGCCGACTTTCTTAATTCTAATTTAATTTTATAATATTAATTTCTAAAATAAAAGTTGTTTATCATTTATTGGATTTTTAATATAAGATTTAATTTTTTTAATATACATTTTTACATTTGATATTATTAGATTTATATGCGGATAAAAGATAAATAACTATTTTTAATGATTTAAGATAAGTAACATTTACATTTCTCTCACTACAGTCTCATCTCATGCCTAGTAGTGTTGAGTTTGGTGCTTGTATATTCAAATCCTAAACTCTTTCGAAGTGAATTTGAGAATCTAAGTTAGTGAAAATGATTTATTTAAAAATAAAATAATAATTATTATATGTATATGTATATATGTATAAATATAAATATTATATAAAAGAAAAAACACTAATATAGTTAAAAAAAGACTAAAATATAGAAAGAAACTAACCAAAAAAACAGAGAAATTAGGATAATAAATTTAAATTATAAATATAGAGAGAAGAAAATTGATAGCTGCAGACATAGCATAGCAGGTCTGGATTACATGCAGAGGGAAATTAAAAAAGAGAAGGTAAAGTATGGGCTACATGCAGAGGCAAAAGGAGGAGCGCGGGAGTATCGGGCGAGAGTGGAGGCCCAACTTTTTTATTTTTAACGGCCACTTGTGGCACGTGGGGAATGTTTCAACACACGTCTCTTTGTGCGTGTGATGATCAATTGGTAAGGGCAAGACTCAAGAGTATTCTCTTTTATTAAAAACATATTTTCATTCGAGAAAAAATAACATAATATTATTCTCTTTTATCCACTTATTTCTAACAAATAAGCAGATCAATATACTCTTTGCATTATCCATTCCAAACTAGATAATTACATGTTTCAGAAAGTTTCTAGTGCATCAAAGGCAGAGCAAGATAGGGAAATATTCAAAATATTCATAAAGGACTTGATAAGGTGAAGAATATACATTTTCAAAACATGAAAGGTAAGTTGGAATCCTTACAAATAAAGAAGCTTGAAAAGTAAAATTAGAAGTGATCGAATGACATACCTATTGAAGTTAATAAATTTGTATATGATCATTTGAGAATAATTGTCTGCGAGTATTAATTAGTAGTAAAAAGAACAAGCATGATCATGTTAATATAATTCAACAAGTCTTTTAGCCGTGCTGATTAATTTCATGTGATGAGTTACATTCAAAAGATTTGTGATGGTGTGGTACTAGAGGTAGGATTTCTTGATAAGGATCGATGAAAAGGATTAAAAAAAAACGAATATTTCTAAAAGGGAAGTACAAATTAAAATGAGATGTTTGTTGAGGACTTGTTTGTGGATACCTATCTTGACGTTAAATAGTGAGCAATTTATTTTTCACCATAAATCGTGAGCATTTAAACTTTGAATTTTGGAAGAATAAAACCAAGCTATTGAGAAGAACACCCGAGAGTTATTTTGTCAATCTTTCCAAGGATTAATAAGTAATTAGAGCGAAATGATCATGAAAAAGAAAAGCCAGGTGGGAAAAAGTGTGATATTGTGTCTTGAACAAGAAGACAACGAACAAGAGCAAAAAATATTACTAGAGAAAAAGTGTGCATTGGCAAGAAAGAAGAAGATGAAATACATAGCTATAGATACTTCAAATTATGTTTTCAATGTTTCATCCTTCAAATTTAAGCTTTTAAAAAAATGACAAACATGGATTGAAGTCACCCAAAGAAATCAAGTTTATAGTAGTAGGGCATTTACTTAATATAATAGAATATTTATTTAAATCTTTTATAAGATTATTTTTTAAAAATTTGCTTCATATACGTTAAGGTCTACAGTTTTTTTTTTGTACGTGTGTATCTTACTTTTAATACCTTTTAATTTCCAAGAATTATATTCAAAGTATGTCTATTAATTGTAACAAGAAAATATACATATATAAATGCAAAGTTCAAAATTGCTACTCCATTTGTTACGATAGATGTTCTGTACAAATTGTACGGAAAACACGCGTAGTTTATTTAATTTAACTGCAAGTAATTAATTTCACATGACAAAAATCTAAGTGGTTAAATATACTTCCATTTCACATTAATATCGTAGTAAGTTATTTTTTATACATAAAAAAATATAAAATAATAAATTTATAAATTTAATTAATCTCATAAAATTTTCAGAAATAATGTTTTTATTCAATAACCGCTTTCTAAAAAAAATATTATAAGATTTATAAATAAAAAAGAAATAATTATTACTGCACTAAAAATTAATTAATGACATTTGTTTTAAGATTTATTTTCTTTTCAAACACAATAAAATATATATGGTTAAATCTCATTCACACTACAACAAAATATGTATTCAGTAATATTAAAAAATATTACTAAGTTATAAATAAATGTCTTATATTTTTTACGACATGTTATCAAATGTGAGATAAAGAATGTATTATTAAAGACTTTTAATAGTACTTTACACATCAATAATTATATGTTTAAAAATGTTACTAAAAAATATTTTGTAATATTTTAATAATATTGTTAAATTTTTATAAATTTTATAAAATGATAATTAAATTCTACTACCACTTATATTTTAAAATTTAACATATCTTAAATTTTTTAATTAACAATAAAATATATCCTAAACTAGTCATTATCAAATCTATATCACATATCAAAAATAATTTATTTTAATTTTTTTTAACGACAAAAAATATCCTAAGTTAATCACTACTAAATCTAAATCATGTATTAAAATTTTATTTATTTTAAGTTTCACTGAATGATTATATATACTTTTTTATATGTAATTATTATACTTGATGTAATTAGAAATGAAAGAAATATATAATTTTTTATATATTATTATTTTTTATGCGAGACTTAATTTTAAAAGAAATTTATAAAGAAAAATATTAAGATGAAAAATATTACTCTATCTATAATAACATTTTAATAAATATACATGTTGTAGTGTCAAAATCAATACTAAAATTGTATATATATTTATATTATATATATATATATTTATAATAACTTTTAATATATCATTATATAAAACATTTATTATAGCAACACTAAGAAGGTGGGAGAATAATGCAATTATCCAATTCGCCAATGTTTTATACCATTATTATTCATGCAAATTAGCATTTTTTATTTATATAAATACTAATGTATTAACCCAACCATTTACAATTAAGTTATATATTTGAGTTAAAGGGAATTTCTTTAACTAAGAACTTCTTCCGTTCCTATAGTATTATACATGACTTTTTATTATTATTATTATTTCATTTTTTTATAATTTTTTTAAATTATCAATTACATTAATTACATATTTTTAAAAATATTTTTATTTAACTAATATATTTTTTTATAGATAAAAGTAATAAATGTTTAAAATCAATTGGATAAAATTTTTCTTTCCTTTATTAATATTAGAGGAGATAAATAAATACATAAATATTTTCTCTTTTAAATATTAATTAATTAAGCCAAAAACAATCAAATAGAAAGAGAAAAAATTAATTCAAGAATTAAGGATAATTTTCAAATATAACTTAAAGTAATTACAAATTTAATGTTCATAATTTACTTAATATTTTTTTTGAAAAATATAATTTAATAAAATTTTGTTATAATTAATAATTCGGCTACTATTATCATTTCCTTTCCACCTTATTTTCTTACAATAAAGTGAAAAGAAATCTTAAATATGCTTTTAATTTTTATATTAAGTGTGTATTTAGTAGAGAATAAAGAAATAAATGAGAAATAGAGTGATGAAAATAAAAAAATAAGTAAAAATATATAATAAAATAAAATAAAATTTTAGTTGTTTAATTAAAAATAAATAAATGATAAGTAGATAAAAAAAATACGATATACTTATAAAAGAGAAGGAAAAAAATAAAATTAAATAAAAAAATAAAGTTATCACCTTTTAATTTTTTATTTTCTTATTCCTTTTTATTTAAACGATTTTACTTATTCTCACTCCCGATTTTATTTCTTATTTATTTTCTCTTACCCTAACAAGACATGAATGATAAGAACACTCATGGATTCTTTACGCATGAGTGACATGACAGGTAAAATATAACATATAACACCATATACACGCAAGAGTTACATTTGAACTGTGCAATAATTGTTCAGGAAATTGAAAAGAAAAAAAAAATAATCAAAGCAAGAAATCCATGGCCAAATGTCTGAGGCTTATCGTGTA